GCTGCGCGGGGGGACCAAGACCGAGCCGAACGGGATCACGGAGCACCACGCCAACACGGCCATGGGCGAGAGCAGTGGCGCTGCGAAGCGAAAACGAGAAGCCAACAACTAGTACGAGCTTTTTCGATTTTAATCTCTCCGTCTCTCTTCATTCTGTTCTTTAGCGCCCATCATCGTCATCATTCCTTGGCGATGGCGTTGATTTCCTTGTTGCCGAAGATCTCGACCTTGGGTGACTCGTCGTTCTCGAGGATGTGCTCCGCGTGCAGTCGCATGGCGTGGGCCAACCGCGCCACCGGCATCTCTGACGAGACGTACCTGTCGGGTGTTGGTGTGAGTTTTTGATTTTGAATCAAAGGCCTCTGAACGAGTGAGCCAGATGGCCGTTAGGGTCGTACTTGGCGAGCTTCTCTACCAAGCGGGCCTTGTCTCCGCGACCGAGCAGGCCCGGCCTCCAGATGGTGGTTCGCGCAAAGTCCATTTCCTTGATGTCTTCCTCGTTCTAGAGTCCCAAAAGGGCACGCGCTGAGTTGCAACTCGCGCCAGGTGTACACACAACCGCACAACAGCACACGCGCTTCGGCCAAGAGAAGGAAGGGGGAAAAGTACCTGGCCTTTGGTCTTGGGGTAGAGGAACCAGCTGTTGGGGTTGGAGCCCATGGACGTCAGGAGGTGGAAATGCTTCACGCCGTGGTCCTTGCACAGGCTGCCGAACTTGACGGTGTAGCCATGGTCGATCTTGCGTGCGCGTGCAATGAGGGAGCGACGCATCGTCGATGAGCCTTGCGCGTAAGGGTACTACCACCACGCATCAAACAATGTCGCTTAGTACCTTGACGAAGGCCTCGGCAGACCCGGCATCCTTTCTCGTTGTGCCAAAGGTGCAGAACGCCTGCAGCATCATAGTGGCACGAGCTGCAGTGAGCGAACGAAAGACCGAAAGCGGGCGTGGCTGGTGCTTGACTGGTCTACGTACGACGTCGTGGTCCTTGAACGAGTCGGCATGCTGCTCCATTTCGTCCATGTTCACCACTACCTGCTCCACCTTGTCTGCACCGTCGACGGAACAAGAGGGCCGCCAAGGTGAGAGCTTGGCCCAAGCGTAAGCGCAGACAGGCGGTATGTCGCACCGCTTTGGAACTCATCGGCCTGGCGCCTGT